AGTCAAACTCTCCACAGTAAATGTAAAGAATGTGTATGAGAGAAATGTCTGATGACATTCAGAGGATCTCCAATTAGACTCATAAGTGAGTTTTCACCAGAAACCCTACAGGCTAGGAGAGAATGGCGAGAAATATTCCAAGTCCTTAGAAAAAAAACTGTCAACCCAGAATCCTGCACCCCACAAAGCTCTCATTTATGAATGAAGGTGAAAAAAAGATCTTCCATAACAAACAGAAATTGAAAGAATGTGTAGCCACCTACCCAGCCCTACAAAAGATGCTCAAGGATGTGCTATAAACAGAAACAAACATAGTCATCACTATGAAAGAAGGTTAAGGCAGAAAATTGCCAAGTAAAACTACAAAGGTAACCCAAAGTAAAAAAATAGGATGGCTGGCGCCACGGCTCAGTAGGCTAATCCTCCGCATGCAGCGCTGGCACAATGGGTTCTAGTCCCAGTCGGGGCACTGGATTCTGTCCCGGTTACCCTTCTTCCAGGCCAGCTCTCTGCTATGGCCCGGGAGTGCAGTGGAGGATGGCCTAAGTCCTTGGGCCCTGCACCCACATGGGAGACCAGGAGAAGCACCTGGCTCCTGGCTTCGTATCAGCATGGTGTGCCGGCCGCAGGGGCCATTGGAGGGTGAACCAACGGTAAAGGAAGACCTTTCTCTCTGTCTCTCTCACTGTTCACTCTGCCTGTCAAAAAAAAAAAAAAAAATAGGACTATTAACAGAAATATGGCAGGGCAAAGTCATTACTTAATAATAGTCACTCTGAATGTAAATGGCCTCAACTCTTCAGTTAAAAGACACAAACTGGCTAAGTGGATTAAAAAAGAAAGCCCATCTATTTGCTGCCTACAAGAAACATATCTCACCAACAAAGATGCACGCAGACTGAAAGTGAAAGGATGGAAAAAGATAATCTATGCTAACAGAAATCAAAAAAGAGCTGGTGTAGCCATCCTAATATCAGACAACATAGACTTTAACAAAAAAAACTATTAAAAGAGAAAAAAGAAGAGCACTATGTAATGATAAAGAGATCAATTCAACAGGAAGATTTGACTATTATAAATGTATATGCACCTAATTTCCGGGCACCTGGCTATTTAAAAGAAATGTTAATGGGTTTAAAAGTAGACATAGACTCAAATACAATAGTAATGGGGGATTTCATACCCCACTTTTAGCAATGGACAGGTCAACCAAACAGAAAATCAGCAAGGAAACAATGGACTTAATCGACACTGTATACCAAACAGACCTAACAGATATCTACCAATCTTTTCACACTACAGGGAAAGAATACACATTTTTCTCACCAGTGCATGAAAATTTCTCTAGGATTGATCACATGCTAGGCCATAAGGCAAGTCTCAACAAATTCAAAAAAATTCAAATTGCACTATGCATGTTCTCGACCACAATGGAATGAAGTGTATAATCAGTAACTCAGGACTCCCAGAACATATGCAAACACACTGAGACTGAACAACATGCTCCTGAATGAACAGTGGGTCATAGAAGACATCAAAAGAGAAATCAAAAAAATTCTGGAAACAAATGGAGATGACAGTACAACATAACAAAACTTATGGAATATTGCAAGATCAGTGTTAAGAAGAAAGTTGATATCAATTGGAGCCTACATCAAGAAATTTGCTTATCAACAAATGAGCTATCAATGCATCTCAAGGGCCTAGAAAAACAACAGCAAACCAAACCCAAAACTGGTAGGAGAAAAGAAATAATTAAAATTAGAGAAGAAATCAACAAAATTGAAACCAGTAAAACAATACAAAAGATCAGCAAAATGAAAGGCCTAACGAACCAAAAAAAGAGGGAGAAGACCCAAAATGATAAAATCAGAGATGAAAAAGGAAATATAAAAATAGGCACCACAGAAATAAAAAGAATCATCAGAAATAACTACAAAGAGCTGTATGCCTACAAAACAGGAAACCGAAAAGAAATGGATAGATTCTTGGGCACATATGACCTACCTAAATTGAGTCATGAAGACCTAGAAAACCTAAACAGACCCATAACCAAGACAGAACTCAATAATAAAGACCTTCCCAACAAAGAAAATCTCAGACTAGATGACTTCACCACTGAGTTCTACCAAACAAATACGAGCTAACACCAATTCTCAAGTTATTCAAAACAATTGAAAGGGAGGGAATCCTCCCAAATACTGTCTGTGAATTCAGCCTCACCTTAATTCCTAAACCTGAAAAAGATAAAAAAGAGAAAGAGAACTACAGACCAACACATCAGAAAGATGATCCACCCAGTCCAAGTGGGATTTATCCCTGATATTCAGGGATGGTTCAGTATTCGCAAATCAATCAATATGATACATCACGTTAACAAATTGAAGAACAAAAACCGTATGATTATCTCAATAGACACAGAGAAAGCATTTGATAAAATACAACATCTTTAATGATGAAAACTTTAAGCAAATTGCGAATATAAGGAACATTTCTCAAAATAATCAAGGCAATTTATGACAGACCTACAGTCAGCATACTATTGAACGGGACAAGTTGAGATCCGGAGCCAGACAAGGATACAGACTCCCACCACTGCTTTTCAATATAGTACTGGAAGTTCTAGCCTGAACCATTAGAAAAGAAAAAGAAATCAAAGGGGTACAAATCAGGAAGGAGGAAGTCAAACTATCCCTATTTGCAGATGATATGATCTTATACACAGGGATCCAAAAGACTCCACTAAGAGACTATTGGAACTCATAGAAGAGTTTGGAAAGCTAGTAAGATACAAAATCAATACACAAAAATCAAAAGCCTTGTTAGACAACGCCACAGCTGAGAAAGAGGTTCTAAGATAAATCCCATTTACAAAAGCTACCAAAAAAGTCAAATAACTTGGAATAAATTTAATCAAGAATGTCAAAGATCTCTATGGTGAGAATTATAAAACACTAAAGAATTAGAGGAAAATACCAAAAGAATGGAAAAATCTTCCATGTTCATGGTTTGGAAGAATCAATATTATCAAAATGTCCATACAGAAAGCAATTTACAAATTCAATGCAATACCAATCACAATAATGAAGATATTCTCAGGTATAGAAAAATGATGTTCAAATTTATATGGAAACACAGGAGATGCCGAATAGCTAGAGCAGTCAATCATATACAACAAAAACAAACCTGGAGGCATCACAATACCAGATTTCAAGACACACTATATGGCAGTTATAATCAAAACAGCCTGATACTGGTACAAAAACAGATGAATAGACCAATGGAACAGAATAGAAACACCCAAAATCAATCCAAGCATCTACAACCAACATATCTTTGACAAAAGAACTAAAATTAAACACTGGAGTGAGGACAGTCTGTTCAACAAATGGTGCTGGGAAAACTGGATCGCATAAAGCAAGACCTTCACCTGATACCTCAAAAAGGATTAAAATCCACTCAAAATGCATTAAAGACCTAAATCTATGACCTGACACCATAAAATTATTATAGAACATTGGAATAGACAAAGAGTTCTTGGAAAAGACCCCAGAGGCACAGGCAATCGAAGCCAAAATCAACAAGTGGGATTACATCAAACTGAAAAGTGTCTACACTGCGGAAGAACAATCAGCAAAGTGAAGAGGCAACTGACAGAATGGGAGAAAATATTTGCAAACTGTACAACTGATAAAAGTTTAATAACCAGAATACACAAAGACATCAAGAAACTCAACAACAACAATACAAACAAATCTGGTTAAGAAATGGGCAAAGGATGTAAAAAGGGATTTTTCAAAAGAGAAAATCCAAATGGCACATGACTCATGAAAAAATGCTCAGAATCACTAACTATCAGAGAAATGCAGATCAAAACCACAATGAGGTTTCACTTCACCCCAGTTAGAATGGCTTTCATACAGAAATCAATAAACAACAAATGCTGGTTAGGATGTGGGGAAAAAGGCACCCTAATCCACTGTTGGTGGGAATGTAATCTAGTAAAGCTATTATGGAAGATAGTATGGAGATACCTCAGGGTCTGAATATGGACCTTCCACATAACCCAGCCATCCCACTCCTGGGAATCTACCCAAGGGAAATGAATCAACATATGAAAGAGCTACCTGTATCATGTTTATTGGAGCTGAATTCACAATAGTGAAGACATGGAATCATCCCAAATGCCTATCAACTGTAGACTGGATAAAGAAATTATATATATATGATGGAATACTACACTGCAGATAAGAAAAAAACAAAACAGAAAACAAGTCTGGTCATTCGCAACAAAATGGATGAAAACTGGAAAACAATACTTGGTGAAATAAGCCAATCCCAAAGGGACAAATTCTATTTGTTCTTCCTGACATGTGTTAACTAATAGAGCACCTAAAATACAGCATGTAGAAATGAAATTGGCTGGCGCTGCGGCTCACTAGGCTAATCCTCTGCCTATGGCACCAGCACTCTGGGTTCTATTCCCGGTTGGGGTGCCGTTTCTGTCCCAGTTACTCCTCTTCTGGTCCAGCTCTCTGCTGTGGCCCGGGAAGGCAGTGGAGGATGGCCCAGGTCCTTGGGCCCTGCACCCACATGGGAGACCAGGAGGAAGCACTTGGCTCCTGGCTTCAGATCAGCGCAGCACACCGGCCGTGCTGGCCATTTGGGAGGTGAACCAACGGAGGGAAGACTTTTCTCTCTGTCTCTCTCTCTCTCACTATCTAACTCTACGTGTAAAAAAGAGAGAAATGAAATTAACACTTTTAGAAGCAATGATTATGAACAGCCCTTCTCTTGACTGTTGAGGAACAGCTTCATATTCTATTTCTTTGTCTATCTTTTCCTTTATAACATCTGCCTTATCTTTTTCTCTTTCATATGATTCATTGAATGTTGTACTTAACATAGAGTTAATCATATATATGTAAAGTTAGTTGAAAATAGGTTTTAGTAAAGAATAAGAGAATAAGAAAGGGAGGAGGATGGGAGGTAGGAGTCAGGGTGGGAGGGTGGACACAGTGGGAAGAATCATCAAGATCATAAATTTGTAATTGTGAAATGTATGAAGTGTGCAATCGCAAGGCAGTATAATCCTACATACATTCATATGGGCATACTTCTAAAGGTACAACCTAACAACTAGCCATAAGACCCCAAAATCCCTTAAGCTGACTGATAAAAATAGCAGCTTAAGTGTTAAAAAGATAAAATGAATAGGAACAAGTGGTAAAGAGACCATATAGATATGCTCAAGAGTTAAAGTGATCATATTAATAGGATTAAGTTATTTGGAAATAAGAATAGACAGAATTAAAAAGGAGTGAAGGCTCTAACATGGGAAGCAGTCGATACAGCAGATTCATAGAATGACAATCACTTTAAATATCACTCCAACCTCAGAATTAACCCTTAAGACATTCCATCTGACTGGAAAGCCCAGAGGGAGCATTTCAGGCACAGAAAGCCAAGACACTCTGGGAAAAAAATATTCTACATAAAGGACCCTGTGGATGAGACCCCAGTGGTCAGAAGTGATCACCAAAGAAGGAGATACTTTTCTCTGAAGGGAGGAGAGAACTTCCACTTTGCGTATGGCCTTGTCGAGCTACTGGATCCAAAAGGCTTCCATAGCTGAGGCAGCTCATGTCAAGAGCCTTGGGTTATCACTGATGTCATATATGAGTGTTATTTGATAAATAAACAATAAGAGTCACTGTACACTAACTTCCCATGCAGGACCTCTGTCCACAAAGAGTTGTGTCATGAGGCTTAACTTAGTAGTAAAACTTGTTCTCAAGAATCACTTTTAGTGAATTTAAATGTGGATATTATTATGTGTGGTAAGTTATAGACATGTCTGAGAGCTCAGAAAAGCAATAACATCCTTGGGTTCTTCTTTAAAGACAATTAAGTTTCAAAAAGGAAAGAAGGGGGAGGAAGGAAGGAAAAAGAAGGGGAGAAAAAAGGGAAAACACCTTTAAGAAGCAATAACAAAGAACAGCCCTTGTTTAGACTGTTGAGGAACAGTTCTCTTGTTTTTTTTTTTTTTTTATTTTAACTCCTTTCTTCTTTTTTTTTTTCTTTTTGATTTCTTTCTTTCTGTTTCCTTTGCTTTCTTAGACCAAATGAGAGGGGGGAGGTGTAGGGGGAAATGCCTGCAATAGCTGGTGTTGGGTCAGGCTGAATGAAGCCAGAAACCAGGAACTCAATCCAAGTCTCCCATGTAAATCTCAGGGCCCTAAGTACTTGAGTCCTCACCTGATACCCGATAGGGTGGGTGCACATTAGCAGGAAATTAGAATCAAAAGCAGAGGGGCCAGTGTTATGGTGTAGCAGGTAAAGGTGTTGTATGCAATTCTAGCATCCTGTATGGGCACCAGTTCGTGTCCTGGCTGCTCCACTTCCAATCCAACTCCTTGCATGGCCTGGGAAAAGCAGCGGAAGATGGTCCAAGTGCTTGGGCCCCTGCTACTCATGTGGGAGATTTGGAAGAAGCTCCTGACTCCTGGCTTTGGCCTGGCTCAGCCTTTCTTCTCCTCCTCCAACCCCCCCCTCCCCCTTCCTCTTCCTCTCCCTCTCCCTCTCTCTCTCCAACTCCCATAGCTCTTTCATTTAAATAAATAGAGCCACGGCGAAGGGCACCCTGGTGGAAAGCGGAAGTGAGGCGCTGTGGCAAGGGAGAGGGACGAGCTGCCCTTCGTTGTCAGCCAGGAGCGAGGACACGGTGACGCTCCCATCCGGCTGCCCACGATCACTCGGCGGCCGACATGTCAGCTGCCAGCGCCCGAGGCCTGCGGGCCACCTACCACTGGCTCCTGGATAAAGTGGAGCTGATGCTGCTGGAGAAATTGAGGCCGTTGTACAACCACCCGGCAGGTCCCCGCACAATTTTCTTCTGGGCTCCAATTATGAAATGGGGATTGGTGTGTGCTGGATTGGCTGACATGGCAAGACCTGCAGAAAAACTCAGCACAGCTCAGTCTGCTGTTTTGATGACTACAGGGTTTATTTGGTCAAGCTACTCCCTCGTAATTATTCCAAAAAATTGGAGTCTATTTGCTGCTAACTTCTTTGTGGGGGCAGCAGGAGCCTCTCAACTCTTTTGCATTTGGAGATATAACCAAGAACTAAAAGCTAAAGCAAACCAATAAAAGAGTTCCTGACCACCTGAACAATCTAAATATGGACATAACCACTGGGACCTATTTGATTACTGATAAGGCAATGCTAACTGTGCTAAATTTTAGAGGGCACACAAAAAAATTTAACTAACTGGTAGCTAGTGCTTGATTCAACAGAAAAATAAAGGAAACTTTTAATAACAGTCTCTCTTTAAATATGACTAAAAGAATTTATCTCTGCATGTTAGTAGCACTTTTTTTCTACCATTGGTCCATAATGAATCATAATTGGTCATACATACCCCCAGCCTTCTGTTCTGGTCAGCCAAAGTGTGTACATACACAAGCACACAGCTTCAAGTAAGCTGAAAGACAGTTGAAAAGTTAAACAATCTGTTTATTTAGCAAGGGATGACTGCATAGCTGTAAGTGAAAGGAAATATTGGTAGACAGTGAGAAACAGATAATGGAATGAGAACCCTTAAAATGGCCTTACACTATTTAAAGTTATTTATTTTAAAAGTATTTCAGACTATTGTAAAACTATTTAACTTGACATGAATCTTGATTTTTTTGGCATATTGTATAAAATTCTTTTACAGCCTTAGATTTTCTAATAGGATTGTTATAAAGATTCATTAGGATAATTTTTTAACAAAGTCTATGGCCCATACTGAGTGTTAAGTTGTTGAATTGCACCTAGTAACTGATAATAATGTAGCAGAGAAAAGACTAGAGTCAGACCTGAGTGTGCTTCCCTACTCTGGGTTTATAAGCCATGACTTTGGGCACATTGAGAAAGTGCCTACCAGAGTACTTGGGCTATTAGTATACTTTCTGTAAGTATTTGTAACCTTTATCCTCATTTTGTGAGGAAAGAAAGACCATAGATTATGCCATCTTAGAGGTGATCAATAGTATGTTTGATTTGGGCCTCAGTAGAGGTCTTTTTCCTAAAATGTCTAGTGAAGCCAGGCCTCATTAGAACTATAGTCAGACTAACCAGAAAAGCAAGTTATTTCAACATCTGAACAAACAAAAGAGCATTTCAAATAAAGCTGTTACTATAGCTGATTTTAAAAATTGGCAGTGAGCAGTTGAAAATCTTACACTTCATCTTTGTCAGTTCACCATAGTCCATCTTTGGGGAGGAAGGATTAGAGAATTTCACACAGGCAGAAGTGAAGAAGCTCTGAAGAGCTGAATTAGAATGCTTTCTTTTCATAAGTCTCACTGTTAAATTCATGTGTTTATTTTGCATGGGTGTGCACCCAAGTATGGGTTCCCTAGGTTAAGCATTTAGGAAAAACACATTATGAAATATGGCTAGACACAAAAAATTGTTAAAATATCTGTTAAATTGCCATTTCACTTTTTTTTTTTAATAAAACCTGTTCTATGTTGGATGGGGTTTTCTAAGTCCCCCCCCAAAAAAAAATTAAAAAAAAAAAAAAGATCTGAAAACAAAGCAAAACAAAAAGACAAAAAAGAGCAGAGCTGTGCCTTGAACCCAGGTATTCTAATGTGGGATGTGATCATTCCCAGTGATATCTTAATCTCTTGCCAAACATCCAGTACTGAGAATTCAATATTGTGATAGGAATATCCAGTTTTCCCAGTGCCATTTGTTGAAGAGACTGTTATTTCTGCAGTGTTTGTTTTTGGCACCTTTGTCAAATAGTAGTTCATTGTAGATATATGGATTCATTTCTGGAATCTCTGTTCTGTTTGTCTATATGTCTTTTTTAGACCCTTATCATGTGTTTTGGTTGCCATAGCTCTGTAGTGTGTCATTAAATCACATAGTATGATACCTCTAACTTTGTTCTTTTTTTTCTCAAGATTACTTTGTTATTTGGGAACTTTTGTGCTTCTGTATGAATTTTTGAATTTTTTTCCAGTTAGTTGAAGAATGTAATTTATATTTTTGATGGAAATTTCACTGAATCTATAAACTGTTTTGGGGTATGTGGAATTTTTAATATTATTACTTCTTCCAATCCTTGAACTTGGGAGGTCTGTTTTTTGTGTTCTCTTCAGTTTGCTTCATCATTGTTTTATAATTTTCACTGTACAGATCTTTTATGTCTTTGAGTTTATTCTTAGCTATTTAATTTTTTGTAGCTATTAAATAGGACAAATTTTATTATTTTTCTTCCAGAAAGTTTGTTACTGGTATATTAAATGCTATTGATTTTTATATTTTGATTTTGTATCTTTTCAAAATTTTCATTTTATTTATGTGAAAAGCAGGGTGGGGGTGCAGCATGCTGGTTCGTTCCCCAAATACACACAACAGCCAACAGCCAAAGCCAGGATCTGGGAACTAAATCCAGGTCTCCCTTGTGGGTGGAAATATCCCAACTAATTGGGCCACTACATGTTAACTCCCAGAATGCACATTAGCTGGAAGCTAGAATCAGGAGCAGAACTGCAACTCAAACTCAGGCTCTCTGCTACCAGATGTAGGCATCCCAAACAGCATCGCTGCCTCACCAAATATCTGCAAGAATTTTTTTATCAAATTAAATTGTCTTTCACTGGAGTCTTTAGGTTTTTCTACATAATAGACTCATGTCGCCTGCAAATAGGGATCATTTGACTTCTTCTTTTCCTATTTGATAGACTTTTTTTTCACTTGCATAATTCCTCTGGTTAAATTTACTGATGTAAAATTAAATAAGATGAAGAGAGAGGATCTCCTTGTCTAGTTGCAGACCTTAGAGGAAATGCTCTCAACTATTCATTATTCCTTATGACGTTGGCTATGGGTTTGTCACATAGTAACCTTTATTATGTTGATGTACAGTTCTTTTATATCTAATTTTTTAGGGTTTTAATCATTAATTGATATTGAAAATTTGAATACTTTTTCTGTATCTATTAAGATGATCTTTTTTATCCTTCATTTTATTGGTGTGATAGATTACATTTATTAATTTGTATATGTTGAATCATCCTTGAATCCCTGGGATAAATCCAACTTGATCATAGAGGGTAATTTTTTTTGATATGTTACTGGATTTGGTTTGCTAGTATTTTGTTGAGAATTTTTGCATGTTCATCAGGAAGACTGGTTTGTAGCTTTCTTTGTCGTGTGATGTTCTTGTCTGGTTTTGGTGTCACGCTGACTTCAAAGAGTAAATTTGGAAGTGTTCCCTTCCTTTCAAATTTTTGGAATAGTTTGAGAAGAATTGGTGTTAATTCTTCCTTAAATTTTGGTAGTATTCAGCTATGAGGCTATCTAGTACTGGGTTTTTCTTTGTTGGGATAATTATTGATTGAGTTTCATATTTGTTACCAGTCTATTCAGGTTTTCTATGTCTTCATGATACAGATTTGGTAGGTTATATGTGTGCAGAAATTTATCTGTTTCTTCTAGATTTTTCAGTTTGTTAGCATATGGTTCTTATGGATGGGTAAAGATTCTTTTTATCTCTGTGATATCAGATATGTGTATCCTTTTTCATCTCTGATTTTATTTGAGTCCTCTCTTTTTTCTTAGTTTAGCTAAAGGCTTATCAATTTTGCTTATTATTCCAATAAAACAACTGTATTAACTTTTTAGTTTCTATTTTATTTATTTTTGTTTTGGTCTTTATTATTTCCTTCTACTCATTTTGGATTTGGTTTGGTCATGCTTTTTAAACTTCTGGAGATGCATTTTTAGGTTATTTATTTGAAATCTTTCTTTTTTTCATGTAGGTACTTATTCCTGTAACCATCTCTCTTAATACTGCTTTTGCTGTATCCCATAAGTTTTAGTATGCCACGTATTCATTTTTATTATTTTCAAACACTTTTTTTAAAGATTTATTTGAAAAGCAGAATGACAGAGACTTCACTTCCCAAAAGGCCCAAACAACCAGGTCTGAGCCAAGCTCGCAGGAACACTCTATCCTTGCCTCCCACATGAGTTGCAGGGGCCCAAGCACTTGGGCCATCCTTCATTGCCTTCCCAGGCACATTAGCAGGAAGCTGAATCAGAAGTAGAGTAGCTGGATTCAAACTGGCACTTCAGTATGGGATGCCAATGTCACAAATGACTGTTTAACATGCTGCACCACAACATCAGCTGCAGTTTCAACACATTCTTAAATTTCCTTCTTTATTTCATCAATGACCCGTTGTTTGTCTATGTTGCAGGAAGTGACAACTGAGGCCAGTGTTATGGGTGGCAAAGAATTCACCAAAACAGTCAGATAAAATGAGCAGTTAGATTTATTGAATATGCTGCAAGGGAGCAGCAGGGCAGGTAGGACAGCTACCAGCTGACTACCACTGCCATATACTGCAAGGGAATTACAGACAAGACAATCAGAGGCTGCCTGCTGCAACATGGACTACAATTTAAAAGGCATACTTTTTTTTAAGGTTTATTTATTTATTTGAAAGGCAAAGTTACAGACAGACGGAGAGACAGAAAGATCTTCCATCTGCTGATTCACCCCGCAGATGGCTGCCAGGAGCTTCTTTTGGGTCTTCCACATGGGTGGCAGGGGTCCAAGTATTTGGGCTATCTGCTGCTGCTTTCCTAGGCTCATTAGCAGTGATCTAGATCAGAAACAGATCAGCCAAGATGTGAACTGGCACCCTTATGGGATGTTGGCATTGAGGGTAGCATTCCAACCAACTGATAATCCCAACCTTCATTGATCATTGGTGTCTGTCTATCTCTTTTGATAGTTTTTTTGTCTTAAGGTCTATTTTTTTTCTGATATTAGTGTGTTTACTTCTACTCACTTTTGGTATCCATTTGTGTGGAATATCTTTTTCCATGCTTTCAATCCGTGTGTGTATTTATTGGTGAAGTGAGTTTCTCATACTATATTGTTGGGTCTTATTTTTTAATACGTTTCAGCTAGTCTGAACTGGGAATTTAGTCCATAACATTCAAGCTTATTATTGATAATAATTACCTAGTCCTGGTTATTTCTAAAAATTTCTTCTGTTCATTTTGATTATCTTTGCTCTTTTTCTAGTGGGTTTTATACTTTCAAATGCTTTCATGATTGTAGTTATCGTTTTTTTAACTTGTATTTGTAGCAAGATTCCCTTAAGCATATTTTGAAGGCGTGTCCTGCAGTGATGAATTCCTGGTTTTTGCTTGTGTTATTAAGTTTTAATTCTCTTTCTTTTATAAAAGATATCCTTTTACTGGATGTAGTATTCTTGGTTGCAGATTTTCTTTTAGAATATACAATGTATTATTCCAT